ACATAAATAGCGCGGAATGCTGCAGAACAAAAGTATCGATTCAGTATAGTATTTCTAGCTTCTGTTCATATCCTCTTCACTGTGTTATTTCGTAGTTGATTTGTATTGCAAAATCCATAAATAACGCAACTTTATAAATACATACAACGATTACTAAAATTTATTTATATAATATAATGAAATAATGTAAACCTGCGGGATTAGAAATTACAGTTATTTACAGCTTTCATTTGGAAATACGAAATTACCTTATTTCCATGTAGACGAATTGCAAAGTTGAGCGTAAGTTTGCAGGTGGAAATATTTAACGTGGAATTAAATGCTCGAGGGTATCTCATATATACATACATATAATTTAAAAGCGGGGGTTTCGGTAAAAAGTGCGGTTAATTAGTGAACCGTCAGCATTATTCATATAATTTATGCACTCCTTTTTATTCCATGCACTCCAGAAAATTCGCTCACTTTAGATGAAATTAATTTCCATCGTATTATAAAATTACGTCTACAATATTTTCATTTTGTTCTTATATCTCATTATTCATATCGAATGATCAATGAAAATGTGCAATACATCAAGATTGTTTGTTCCCGAAAATCGGAAAATTTAAAATGTTTGTTCGAGAATCCTATTAAATGAAAAAATATATATTAAGGAGGAAAATTGGAAAAATATGAATAAATGTCCATTATTTCCATTCATAGAAAATAGGCGACAATTTTAAAATGTCATTTCGTTTTTTTGGGACACCCTTTACATATCTGTATATCATAACAATAGGTCTATATCGCAAGCCCAACAACCGAAATCCCGACTATATCAAAATCTCGAAAACCATAATCCCGAAAACCATAATTTTTCTTACAAAATAACTTTTATTATTAATAACAATAAATTATTATAAATTTATTTGATTTTCTTGAATAATAAAACTTAACATTATGAAATAATCTTGGGAGTCAGGATTATGGTTGTCGGGATTTTGATATAGTCGGGATTTCGAACGTCGGGAATTTGATTGACGGTATTTCGGTTGTCGGGCTTGCGATTGCCACAGCATAACGATAGCTTAATTGTTAATTATTTAATTCCTTAATTGATGTAATCAACGTTTCTAATAATTAACTCATTTAACTCAGAAATTGTAAACATAAATGATCAATTTTGTTTTTGTATATTTCTAAAACTAAATGTTTTAGGAAATGCACGAATCTATCCTATCTTTACAGCTTCTCACATGAATTTTCTCCACAATAATCATTTTCTTCATATGAATTGCTGAGGTATTGTTTTATTTCATAATACACATTATTTTTATCCAATTCATTTGAAATAATTACATTAAATGTACTTGAAATACTTTTTGGTATTTATAAGAATTGTGTTTTTTTCATGTAGAAATTGTAACTACTAAAAATAAGTAAATAAAAGTTTAAATTTAGAAGTTTATAATACAATTTATAACATCATTAAAAATAATAATTGTGGAAAGTCGTCATAAATCTTATAGTAATGTTCTATGCGGGGGAAAAGGTAGCAATGAAAAAAGTAATGATTTAATATTGAAGCTAAAAAAAAGTTGTAATGCTTGAAAGGACATAGAAAGAAAGAAAAGTCATGATTTACAACAATTTATAGGAAGTAAAAGTCGTTTCCTTTTAAACATAATAAAAAAAAACTATTTTGGCAACGCAATATAAAGCTTAGTATTTTTTTTTAAATAAACGTTGTAATTTATTTTATTCTACAATTTTTAGACTCAATTTAGTCTTATTTTTTTGGAATTATCAATTTAATAAAAACTCTACTTTATTTATGAAAAAATATTCATGTAGACAATGATTACTCTTTAATTATTATTAAATTTTATGAAGACATCAAACTAATAGAATCTATCCTTGAGATGAAATAAATGTAAAAATTAGAGACAACTAATATTTTTTTTTAAAGATT